AGTAGTAGTAGTAGTAGTAGGGTAGCAGAAAGTGATTAATTGAGAGCCACCATAATGATGATGGAGACCATTCTTATTTTATCGGCCTGTGCCATCCCGAACCTGAGAAAGACTTCCTCCTTGGCCCACTGTGGGCTGATGATGTCAAGGCCGCATTAAGAAAGCAAACAGACTCGCGTGCTTTCAAATCGTTCTCGAGCAGGCAGTCCTTTACATCTGTGCTTTGGTCAGCCCACATCTTAGATTTTGCTGACATGTACAGAGCTTCTGTCTGTGAGGCATGAACAGGTTGTACTTCCAGGGAAATGTAGAAACCAACGGGCTCGGGGGCTGATGCATTCATTTGGGCGCCTTCAAGCCCTTGCATTGCTGGAGCACGAGGAAGGAACAAATGGAGACCCTCGAAGATGCATGGCTGAGGTGTAGCATCCATCCCGTTCACGCTGCTGGAAGCCCTGGGTGTCATTTCGAAGCCGTGACCCGTCTGTCACTGGTAGCATTTCGGCCAAACCTGGCTTCTTGTCCTGACTGAGGCCTTGACAATCCGGCATATCGCCGCCACTGTTCAGCAAAAGCTCACCTGTCCGATGACATCTTCAACGCTTCGCACGACCAATGTCTCGTTTTGCGTTGCATTGTGTGCGCAAGTGTATGGGTTCTGTTTCCTCGGAACCTTGTTGATGATGCTGAAAGCAGATCAACGACGTTTTGCCGACGAAACTGCCGCACGTAGGTCAATTAAGCCAACATTGATGACCAATTCATCGCGCTCAGTGCCTGGCATCAGTTGGAGCGGGCCTTTTGCGCCGCCGCTGCTTACCGAAAGACTTGGACGCAGCACAAAATGCGACATAAACTCATTGTTGCTCGGGCCCCGCATCAGCTCAGCTGCGTGTGCAGCCAGCAAGCGAAGTCACTTACTAGTTCGCTCATGTTCACTTCTCTCCGTCTCCGTCTTTGTTCGTGCAGGGGTGCCCTTCACACAGGTGCGGGCCGACTTTTTGCGAGACAACCCTGGAGCGGAGGAGTGCGGTTCCAAGAACGACAGAAGTTTACAATGCATCGTAAGAGTGCCTGTGTGTGTGTGTGCGCGCCCACGCGTGCACGCGCCATTCACTGCTACCAGGGACCTGTGCGATAGAATTAGGCATAATGATGCATACAGACATGAGTGCAGTGGGCTAAGACCTGCATCCGGAATGATGCGCCCATGCAACGGAGATGGTTGAGTCACAGAGATGGCACACAGCAACGTACAACAGTCGACATTAGCCGCCGTGATTCCAGATCAAGGCTTCAGGCCCGATCCAGGCACTCGACTAAGTCGCGGGCAGCTGAGGTTGGTGCAGCATGCCCCCAAACACGTGCCTCGATACATGCATGTCAGCATAGACGAACCAGCACAAAGCCCAGACGCAGCCAGGGACCAAAGCCCAACAGAAGGACAACTGAGCATGAATCGAGGGTTGCTTTTGCGCCGAATGCCAAGGAACAGTGTCGACATTTATGCTTATTTTCTCAATCGACTTCGAGACAACTTGCACGTGGTCCTGTCGTTCTCGCCATGCCCTCGGAAGTGCTGCGCAGGTCTAAGCACCAGAGCCCAGATTGACTGCGTGCAGCTGCTAGTATGGAGCAGCTTCAGTATGCAAGCGATTTCGAAGAGATTTGAAGCAGCCGAAAAACCATGCATGCTGATGCATGCTCTCCTTGAACCACTCGAGTCAACATCCGAGGCACCTGAGACCAGATTTTCCTCTGCGCGCACAGATGTTCCCGGCGGTTTTCAGCAGCGTGCCCAGAGAAGCTTCGGTGCACAAGCTGCAGACGGTTCTTATTACGCCATACACATGCGGTCATGCTAGAGACGAAAGTTTACACACCGCGGGGTGGCAATGAGACTATAGAACGCACATGCTGCAATCGCCAGGCGCAGTGAATATCAATTGGTTTGTGGCCCAGCCGTCTATTTGCTTATACATCTGGAATTGCATTTTCCAGAAGACCATAAGTTTGGGCTGCCGTGGCTGCTGGGGCTTTCTTAGGTTCTTGCCTTGGCCAGAAGAAGCTCTTGTTGCTGTGAGCACCAGCCTTTGTTTATGATTCCGCGCTGCACCCATGTCCCATCATGCTTCCTCGTCGCAGGTGCCAATTTCTTGAAAAACTTCAAGATAGATACCACTGAAGAGCACCGCAACCGCCTCTTCCCCAATTCGATTTCTGCGTGCTTAGAGTGAAGGGCTCTGTGCTGCAAGTGGAGGTCTCTATGAAGTGATGGGGTCTTTCCAGCTCCGCGTGCGTCACATGCATCGCGCTTATCAAGCATGCATGCCTGCTCAAGTCAAGAGACAGATGTGCCTTTGCTATTTGCAGGTGTGGCGTTTATTTGTCCAGGATGCGGAAGCACGTGTACGTAACACCAAGGAAAAGATCCGTGCAGATGGGGCTCAGGGCTTGGGGTGAACAATACTTCTGCGAGTCTGCCACAGGAGCTTTCTGTGTTTCATCGAGTACTACAAGAAGCTTTATGAGCTCAAGCATGAGGAAGTCAACGCAGATGGCCCAGCTTCGCTTGCAGCAGGCTCCGCAGGCAAGGGATGACTCGAAAGTTTTTGCCAGCTCAGGTCCAGGAGAAAAGCGTCATCATTGGCTTGCGCAAGTTGGATGAGGCCCTACAGCTTTGCTGGTGCTGCTGCTGATGTTGCTGCGGTGAGTACAGCTCGTCTCGTAGGTAGCGCCATTCTTGCCATTGTGAGCTTGTTGGCTTGGGTCCGGTTTTCGTCCACACGGGCTTTCGGACTGACAAGCAGGCAAAGGCATGAAGTGCACACTAAGTCTCGGACAGGCGATGGGGTCAATCCCACGAGCCCCATCATAGAATCCGGCCCTCAAGTTTGATAAACGTGCATGTCGATAGTTTTCTCGTCTGTGGGGCTTTAGCAAATTTCGAAACGGAAGATACGATCGGAGACAGCGGGAAACTTTCTCACGTCTCCACAGTAGCCGTCGTGAGGCTGCAAATTCAGGCTGACAGTCGCGGCATCAGTGACTGTGACAGGCAACTTCTGCTGCATACTTCCACACAGCTGTTTCCGATGCACGTATCCTACCCAGAACTGTCGCACCTCTGCTTAGGAAAAATATCTCCCAGCGAGTCTTGGATCTGGACGTGCTTGACAGGAGCAGCAGCGAAATTTACATTCTGACAAACTACAAGAGATGGGGTCAGCAGTGCTGGCAGTCGGTGATTAGCGCTTGATTGAATATCATCTGTTGGGTTTCGGTACCGCTCACCCAACAGCACATTTTGGAACTTGAGGTAACTGACAGTCTTTCGGCAGAATAGAAAAGACCGTTCATGTAATGTGAGATAACAGAACGCTGAGCCACGGCCTCAAGTGAATTCCAAGATCAAGGAAGGTAAACAAAGGAAGCCTACATACACAATCAGTGCCTGCAAGACATGCACCAGCTTTTGCCTGAAGCCGCAGGCGGCGAAGAACGTCGTGCAGATGCAGGTGGGTTGGACTCGCACCGACGCATAAAAGGCCCCTGGATGATTGACAGTTGCACCTCACAGGCTGAGATCGCTTCGCCCTGAGAGCCTGCACATTGAAGATGCAATGTAGTATTGCTGCTGGTACTTGCGCACGTTCCTGAACACATCCCCATGGCAGAATCATGCGGCTTCAGGAAGCTCAAGAAGAGATCTTGCGAAAGGAGGATGACAAGACGAACAAGCTCCTGGTAAAGGCCGGGGTTGTCCTGGTGTGTCATCTGCCCAGATTTTGCTGGAGCAGCACGGAGGTACAAGGAGAGAAGGCAAGAGCGGAGAAAAAGGCAGAAGAAGTTGGCAGCATAAAAAAGGACAGCCCGAACTACAAGGTGAATGAGCCATATGAAACCCAGGAGTGTCCGATTTACTTTGATCGTGTCCGAAGCTCTTTGCAGGATTGCGAAGACAACGCGGCTGCCATCAACGAAGACAAAGAGGAGGCGCGCGGAGGCGCAGTTCAGTCGGCGGGCCGAGTGCCGAGTGCCGAGTCAAGGCCAACCGCCAGCTCCAAGAAGCGCTCCCCTACTTGCACGAGGAACGCCTCGTTCTTGGAGCGAGCATGAGAGCAATACAAAGCAGCGTTCAGGCAAATGCAGCTTGCAACTCCATCAAAGACAAGGCGGGGAAGCACGGACAGCTTCCTGGGTGTAACCTGATGTATGTTGCCATCGAGTTCACCACGGCTGGATTTGCAGCATGTAACCACGGCAGAAAGAAGGGCGAGTCCCGGCGCTAAGCCCGCTCAGGGTCTTAGTCGTAGTGTCCGGTATTGTCGCGTCTTGTGCGGCATTTCATCGCTCGTACTGGGGGAGAGCTTCGCCAGGACATCGTCGAGTTGAAGGGCAACAAATCGCCGGTTGATATCGCGCCGCTCTTACAAAGGATCCACAACACTGTCCTGACCGTCCATTTCTGCAGTAACGCATGTCCCAAGTCTTCTCAGGTCAGGTACACTTTTGATGGTTTGCTGCTGCTTCTCGGGCTGAAGGTGGTTGAGGCCCAGCCGACATCGTCTTGCGCAGCACACCTTGTTGGCTTCGCACGCGGCTCCTGGAGTTGGCAGGTGAAGCAAGAAGACAGAGTGATTAACAAGGCAGCCGGTGTCGTAGCGTGCGAGCCGCGAGCCACACTACTCAGATGACAGGTCACGGGCACCTTCATAAAGGACTCTTTCGATGAGCACGCGAAAAGCTCGCGCCTTTGTGGTCCCTGCAGTGGTACGAAAGCTACGGAAGTGCATTGAGAAGCCAGAATGACATGACGGAGGCATGCTGGCCGACATCAACTTTTTGAAGACTCTGGGATTCAAACGAGCTGAGCTGGTGTTTCGTCAAATGCTCGTTTCTCGAGCGTAGCTCGACATTCCTGACCTTCATCCCCCCCTCCGTCTAGCAACATCGCTCTTTGCTGCCAGGAATCTGAAATACTTCGTCCAGCACTTATGCAGCGTGCACGTATTCCCACATCAGCCTACGAAGAGCGAGTAGCTTCATGGCCATCTAGCAGGCCGAAAACCAGCGCGATGGCATCAACGCCGCACTCTGATGGTTCTCTTCGTTCCATCTCGGCTCGTCCTTGCCTTCCTGCTCAGGATGAAACCTGCGAGCTGATCGAGCCCTATTTGCGCCAGCTGACCGCAGCCTGATACTCCTAAACTCTCCTAGACCTTCCCTTAGGTTCTGACAGCATCCTGAACCTTAGCGGGCTTGTCCAGGTTTCGATCCGGATCCGAACAAGCACTGGCTGACTTGGAAGCACGCCGTGCCTGATGCTTAAAGCACGTAGCCCTTTCTTTGAGCAACCCGAACACCTCGACCCATTTGCAGGGTTATAGCCGCAGGCTACGGCCGCACACTACTCAGGTTAGACCAGCAGCTGGCGAGAAAAGCCAACGCAGCTGCCGAGGGACTTTGCAAGTTCGCCTGGGCTTCTGCGACGTTTGCCTGCGACAATTTGAAAATTCGCAACTTGCTTCGTGCCAATTCCCGCCGAGGTCGGGGCAATGGTCATGTATCACAAGGCTTCCAAGATCGTCAAGCCCAAGATGGATTACCTGAAGGTAACACCCACCATGTTACCGTCGATTTTCAAGGATGCTCATCACTTGTTTTTCATTTTGGTCATTCAACCATCTCCGCCTGCTTTGTTTTGTCACAAGCCGGCGCACTTTGACCCCTGATTTGAAGTGTGCTGCAGGTGCAGGAAGCCAAGCTTGACAAAGCACGGGAGGATCTGGCAGAAGTGACTTGGCAGGTTCAAAGAGGCTTTCGGGAAGCGTGGGATGATCAGACATGATCTTCCCCTGAGCTTCTTGCGTGCGCCATGAGCGGCTGAACATCAGAACTCGCAAAGTCTTCTTAAAAGAGGTGTGGTCCGTCTCGTTGTCAAATTCGCAAGTGGGCTAGCTGGCGCACTTTGGGAGAATGCTGTGCCCGCGGTGTGCCCGTTCCCACAGTTTCATGCCAACGATACGGCCATTCAGGCAATGAGTAGAAGGCTCAGCAAGCGGCGCACCTTAGTTGGGCCGATCTACCTTGACAACAACTTGAGGCCTATCCACACATGCAGAACGCAACATCGGGAACGAGTTGCACCGATAATCTGTAAATGCCAACTGCCAACTATGCAACGAGTGGACACTGGCAGACCCTTAAGCAGGGCCTCCTTCAAGTATCAAATCCCAGACGGCACGAAAAAGGCAAAGCCGAACTGGCTGCGTGAATGTATTGAGCCAAGGCGAAGTGCTGTGCGTGTTTCATGTTACTCACTTCGATGCGTCCCCTTCTCAATCGTCTCAATATGTCTCAACTAATTGAGGAAAAGAAAGGACGCGGCACGCAACAAGATGCAAAGCGTGTCATGTGAAGATTTGTAAATCTTCCGGTTCTACTTGCAAAGGCAAAGGCGACAAAGCGCTCGCTCCCCGCGAGTGGTGAACCCCGGCCCTCTGAGGCTCACATGCGCATGGCGAGCGGCGGCTAGCAGGGTTCGGTTTGGCTCTATGGGGCCTCCGGATGCCTTCGGCGTGTTCCGGCCTCCGAGCTCCGTCCTCGTGAGAAAAGAAGGGCGAAAAAAAAGAGCACGCGGTGTCTCGCATCTTAGTGTTTCAGTGTTGTGGTCGTGCGTGCATGCATGCGTGCCTGCGTTCGTTGGTGGGCAGGTGCAGGTGGGTAGGTGGTGCTGAGGTGTCCCTGCGCTTGGGACAAAAGATCTTCACTGCAGAATGCTGATTTGCTTGCTTTGGCAAGTGTGTAGTTGGGCTACAGCCGCCGGATTATGAACCACTGTCGCAAATTCGACCCCGGTCGGGTTGCCAGCTGGACTCCAGCGCATTTCTGCCTAAGGCGGAAGCAGAACTCACCAGAGTGCAGAACGAAGTCGCCGCACTTGCCATGCCCTCAGTGAGACACGGGAGTCCGGCAGAAAAAGTGTAGCTAGCAAAGGATCGGCAGCTGCAAGCTGCATATCATGCCAAAGCGGAACTGGAGGCCAGCCGATCGGATTGAAAGCAGTTGTCCGGTCCTTTGCAGTCAGAGCGAAGGCAAACAAGGATGCCGCAAAGAAGCGCACGGCCGCTAAGCTTGAGTAAGCACTTGTAGGAACGTGGATCTGACCTCTGCATACTCGTATGGGGAACTGCAGTGGCAGAACCCTTTCCCATCGTCCACTGTCATGTGCGCAACCTTTGCCACGAATATGAACAAATAAACGGTTCGGTTAGGTTTTAATAAGTAGAGGGCGGCCAAACCTCCGGAGCCACGGGATATGTATATGTGTATATGTGTATCTATAGGTTGTATCATTATATCATAGATGTTCAAATTTTATGCTTAAAAATTCGTGTCTGTTGTGTGTGTGTGTGTCCCCTATTGGACTTCATGGCGCCTTCGCAAGGAAGCAGCGAACAGATTACTTCTCGGCCTGGGAGGCGAGAAGGATCGCTGGACGGAGGCCAGGCGAATGAAAGCTAGAAATCTGTTACAGCACCTTGGTTTAAGAGATAGCCTACCAGGGACAGTGATGTCATAGATATCGCACATAAGCTTTGGTCACAGCAGCAGCAGAAATGGTAGTTTTTTTGTGCAGACGTGGTGGTCGCCGTTGTCGTAGTGGTAGAAGTAGTAGTGGCAGTAGTAGTACTAGCACTAGCACTAGTACCATAGTACTGGTATGAAAACTAGTACTATTGGTACTAATACTAGCAGTACTAGTACTAGTGCTAGTACCACTGCTAGTGCTAGTAGTAGTAGTAGTAGTAGTAGTAGTAGTACTAGTAGCACTAGTAGTACTAGTAGTACTAGTAGTACTAGTAGTTCTAGTAGTACCAGTAGTACCACCAGTAGTACTAGTAGTACTAGTAGCAGTAATAGTAGAAGTAGTAGTAGTAGNNAGTAACAGTAGCAGGTAGCAGGTAGCAGGTAGCAGGTAGCAGTAGGAGTAGTATAGGAGTAGTTGGAGTAGTAGGAGTAGTAGTAGTAGTAGTAGTAGTAGTAGTAGTAGTAGTCGGCGCCCCCCACCCCCTACCAACTACACTTGCTTAAAACCATCTTAAGAGCACATCCGTTTTACTCGGCATTTCCAGCACTTTCGTCATGTACGATCATCATAAGAGGCCTCAANNGCAGCAGCAGTGGGAGGAGGAGGTGGTGGTGGTGCAGCAGCAGCAGCAGCAGCAGCAGCAGCAGCAGCAGCAGCCACCGTCACGGCATCGGCGGCAGCAGCAGCAGCCGCCGTAGTAGAAGTAGGAGTAGGAATAAAAGTTAGGAGCAGTTCGTGTAGCACCGAAAGGAACCAGGAGAACAAGCGGGATAACAGCGACGGGTTTGGCTTACTATGATCTCACTTTCGGGGGTACAGCTTTACAACAGGTACTTCCTACAAGCCCTCTTGAGACATGCCCGCTGGCTCCCAGCCTGCTGCACGGTCTGCGTGGGCTGCTCCTATACAACTCAAACGACTGATGGATGGATGCGAGGCTTCCGTCTTGGCAGTTTAAGCTTTCAGGCCTCAGGGTTTGAATGTCAGGGTGTCGGTCTAAGTTTGGGTTTCAGGGTGCCCAGGAACCGTCCCTAAACCCTACACCCTCAACCCTGGGATTCACGAACCTCGGAGTACTGGGACGAGACTTCAAGGATATCCCGAAATCCAAAACCCTAAACCACAAAACCCTAAACCCTTAACCCTATACCCTGAACCCTAAACCCTAGTGCTCCACACGGAACCGACATTGCTCGAAAATCCTGCAAAAGGAGCTTTAAATCACATGACAAACCTCCAAACCCGCCTGAGGCCTCATTCTGGAGTACCCTTACATAGATCCCCAAATCAAGTATCGCCGCATGTGGAAGCACCCCTGCAAAAGGTACGCAACCAATTTCAAGAAACCCTTCTCCGACCTCGCGGCGCTGCTCTCCAGGGATGTCGACTTCACGGACAGTTCCCTGCACAGTCTGCCCCTCCTGCCACGGAGGTTGCGGATGCGCAACCCTAAACTCTACATCGTTTAGGGCTTTGTTTTGACACCTTTTGCCGACTGCTGTACGTTCGGTCGCTCGTACCTTCGGTCCCTGGATCCTCACTGCCACCTTCCTTGCCACATTCACTCCCTCATCAGTCCACATCACCATCCGGAGCCATATCTGCCACCGAGTTCTGCGGCACCTCACTGTGGACCCCTGCCATATTCACGGAGGGCCTTTGCTGGGGAGACCAGCGGAATCCGCACGTCTCCGACATCATGCCTTGGCGCCATCAGGGCCCCTCTGCTTCCACAGACTTTGAGGGCGATGAAAGGCCTCATTACCTGGGTTGTTGTTAAGGGATTTAATTTAAGCTACCATAATGGGGATCTACATAGTAATATGGTGTCTTTAAGTCGTTGTTAAATGGTAACTTAAACTAGATACCTTAACAAGAACCCAGTTACGTCCTGAGCCGCAACTGCCGTAGCAGCCTTCAGCAGACCCTGCTGAAAGCCAAGCCCCGACAGCATGCTTTGCAGTGGGCCCTTCCACGTAGCTAGAGTCGACTGGCCGAATTCGGCGCACATCCACTTGAGACAACGTGGCAAAGACAGGTAAGCCAAGACCGCAGACATGGCCTTGGAGGCCAGCTCCTGCAACGCAAGCCCCAATCCAAGCCGTCGACGCTCAGAAAATCCCCCGATGCCTCCACCATGCAGGCTCTCCTGCTTGCGAACTGTGAGACCCAGAATGCCAAACCATAGTTCCTCCAGTTGGGCCTCTGTCATGATGTTTGAGTTCCTGGAAGTGAGCTCGTACGCATTCTGAAAGATCTTCATGCACTTCTGGGCCTCTGGAAACCCTTCGTACCATGCCTCTCGGTGTCCAGGCCCGTCGGCACCGTTCAAGAGGCGTTTCACAGCCTTTGAAACAGCGCTGCGGTCGGTCCCCTGCTGGCCAGCGAAAGACGCACACAGCTTCTCCATGGCGTCCCGGCAATCATTCAACACCAGTTGCAAGACGCTGGCAAAGTCACCAGTGCGCTCCAGCAGATGCACCGAGGCATCAGTGACACCGTACCTGCTGCAAAGCTCGAGGCACTCCCGCAGCGGCAAAGCCTCGTTCTCCAGGATGAACGGCAGAACGGTTTCAGGGCAGTTCTGGCACAACAAGTCAATGTAATGAACTACGTGCTCGTTGAAGAACGCCTGCCGGTCTGCAAGACCAAAGCGGCGGCTGAACAAAGCCTCAAAATAGTTCATCTCCATCTGAGGAAACTGCTTCAAGCGCTCCAACACAAGCGCATGGTCCGCTGTGGCAAACTGCTCGCAAAGCATCAAAGAGCATCGCTCTTTGTCTACGTCCACCAATTCCTGAAGTCTCTGAAGGGTGGCTTCCACAAGAGGAGCACCTACTTCATCCAGTTTTGTGATGATGTATTCGAAGATTTGCTCCCGCAGCTCCGGCTCCTGCAGCCTGCAGTCCAAGGCCTTCCCGAACTCACCACGCCTTTCATGCAACCAGGCGGCAAGGCCCAGAAAGTCGGTCATTGCCTTCGCAATGATAGCATCCAGCTGGCTGTTGTCAAAGTCCTGCGTGGCCAACACGCCGATCAGGAGCTGCTCTGCTTCAGACCGCTGCCTTCTCCCTTTAAGGGGCCAGGACAGCAGATGATCGACCACTTGCGTGACCTCCTCTACACTTAGCTGAGGTTTTGCACGAGGCACGGATCGTGCCACAAACCACAAATACTCCTTCTGGGTGTGAGCAGAAAGGGGGCTGTTCTCCTTGACAGCATCTAGCGAGGACCGAATCAAGTGGAACAGACTTTCCAGGCCACTGTCCTCCTGTCCAGACCAGTCCCCCTGGTGAACTGCACGGCTTCCAGACGGTGAGGTGAAAAGCAATGACAAAGTGCGAAACAGGCCCAGGGAAGACAGCCGCAGCAGGCGTTGAAACATCGGGGGAACCTTCTGACTTGGATCAGCTGGAACTTTGAAGATACAGGCCAGCAAATCTGTGATCGCGCTTGGAGGCACGGCCACATCCTTCGAATCAAGGGGAAATGGCCGTAACTCGAAGCATTGGTGAAGGAAGAAGAACAACTTCCGAACCAAGCGGCACTGCAGTAAGGGTGCTTCCTCGGAGCATGCACACGTTGGTGTACACGACTTTGCCAGCTGTGCACATTCTCCGACAAGAAGTTCCAGTGGAGTCACATAATCTCCGAGAACACAGTATACATGAACCAACGCGGTCCACAATCTGTGCTGCGTAAACAGCCGGATGGCCAGGTTCAGGTCAAGCTTTGCGACATCCACACATAGCACAAGTTGTTGAAGCCTGCGTGCCACCGGAAAAAGCTCAGGGAAGTGGTCGGAGTCAACGAAGCACGGTCCGCCTGTCGGTCCGCCTGTGCTGTCTTTCTCCTTCGCCAGCTTCGCTGCCTCTTGCTCTTCCTCTTGGAGTGGCAACGTGTAGGACTGAAGGATGCTGGAGAGGACCTCCGAGTCCATCTCGGGTCGGGGGATCCTGGCATCCAAAATAAAAGGCTCCAGGGAGGCGCAGTAGACGTGCATGTGGCCAGTGGCCTTGAAGCACTCGAAGACGGTCTTGTGCAGCACCGGCCAAAGCTGCGCTTGAACACAAACGCTGACCGCCGTCAAGCAAATCTCTCGCACCTTGGAACGGTCAGCGTCTGGGCGCAGAGTGTTCACCAGGTAAGACTGGATGACCTGCGTTGTGCGCAGCTCCACCGCTCGCTGGCGCAAGGCTGCTTGATGTGGAAAGTCCAGAAGTGGCGGCAGGAAACCACGATGCAATCCCAAAAAAACGTTAAGTGCTGCGGACCAATCATTCCTTGACACGAGAGACTCAATGTGTTGACCCCAACGAGCGATCTGCAGACACCACACCTCCTTCATTCCACAAACATAAAGTGTGCGAGCACGTCCGCGAAAAACAGCTAGAGCGTTGTGATGAGAGCGAATGTCCTTCCCTTCCTGGCTGGTGTGAAACACCAACGACCAGTTTGTCACATCCTCGGTATGCACGGCAGACAATGGCGTTGGAGTGGTAGACAAGCCAGCAGTGTCTGGTAGCTGCGCCACACTGAGCCTGCCGGAAGCATCAAGAATTGCCAAGACGCTATCCGTGAATGCAATGAGGCCACGCAAGGGTGATCCCCACGAGAAGCGGCCCACGACTGAGACCTGAAACTCCTCTTTGCCATCACGCTCCGCATGCATCACACGCATCAGGTGGATAGTCTGCCCATATGCAACACAAAGCTGTGGATCAGCAGAATCTGCCTGCGATGGCTCTGCGATTTCCTGACTTTCACGTCGAAGCCACGCTGCATCTGGAACCCACGACGCATCTTTGGCGTTGTACTGCATCTTTTGCACGACCTGCGCGCTTGGATGGAGGGTCAGAAGTACCGTGGCATTGCTCGCACAAAGACCCACCAAACAGCGGGCATCTGCAGGATGACTCTGGGTAGAAACCTGAAGTAATGGCAACACGCGAAGTGTGACGCCAATGTTGGAGGATTGCTCGATGAGCAGCTGCTTTTCAAAATCCAAACGTCCAAATGTGCCAGTGAAGAAGGTGACAAAGTACACACAACCCTTGGCGTCTGCAGAAAGGGCATACTGCCAGCTGGGACGGCAAAAGGCCAAGGAAATAACTGCACTGGAGTGCAGCTCCTGCACCATGCAGGCTATCTTCGGTGCTGCTAGGTCCCACAGCACGAGATGTCCTGCCTTGTGCCCCACCAACAAACTGCCACCATCTTGTGAGAACGCAGCAGCCGTCACAGCCGAGGTCTCCTCACCCAGGGTCAAGACCTGCGGCTTCGGGGAAAGATCTTGCAGGCGCTGGTCAAGCAGTGCCACGGAGCCCCTCAGAGTTCCCACCGCAACCACTTTGCTGCTTGCCGCAACACATGTGGGCAGCCCAATTTCCTGAGCCAGCTGACGCCGAAGCTCCGAACTGGGCTTCACCTCGACCAATTGCGGAGATCGCACCTCTGCTGCAGATGCGGCCACTGTCGCTTTTTCTCCAGGACCAAGGTCATTGAAGTCTGCCGAATGTCCATGTGCTGCGCCGGGCGCAAACAGCAAGGATCGTTCGTGCTCCGAAGACCATGTGAAAGGAGCTTCAAGGAATTCCTCCATCTCATCCTTTTGACCTGAGACATCTGTGGTCCCATCAGCAATTAGCCTCTCGGGTGGTGCTGCACCGTCTTCTGCTGTTGCCGCAAGCTGCCTCGGCTGTGCCTCATGAGTCTTAGCGCCTTCACTGGATGTCTCCGAGTCCATCGCCAGCAACTCATCAAGGCCAACCATCTGCCCAGTCTTGGCCTGTGAGCCATCGCTTGCATCATCCGCGCGTCCTTCAGACAGCACGGTGCCCAATCGTGATGAGCCCTCTGGCCCCAGACTAGCAGCTGCTTCGGGATCCCTCTGCTGCAGCTGCGGCCCAAGCTCTTCTTCGTCCTCAGAGAAGTCAGCCTGGGCCAGGGCCTCCGCTAGTGTCGGCGCTCGGGAAGTACAAGCCCCTTCCTTCTTGGCTTCCGGCTTGTCACCAAGGGCTCCATCTTTAGAAGACGCTGGTCCTTCCTCATCACTAGATGACTCAGCAAGAAGTTGGTCAACGCTGAGGGACATGTCTCGCTACCGAAGCATCGCTCACAAGAGTTCGACATGGCTTCGCATGGCTGTGGGGAGTTGGGCTTGCATGATTGAAAGGCCTCAGGGCCCCTCAGGGCTTTAGGTGCCCGAGCAGAATCCAAAGACGGCCCCCCTTTGCAACGGTGTTGTAGGGTTTGGGATTAATCTGCCTTGCAAAGCAAAATGAGATTTGGTGTATGTCATAGTCGAAGTTGCAATAAGGAACCTGAAGAATAGTATTGCTGATCAAGGAGCTTCTAAAATGCAGGCAAAATGTGGATCCCTGGATGATTCCAGACATGCAAGCTACCTCATTGATAGGCAATGGGTTGGCGCATGGACTGTGGCGCCTGTGGAATCTCCACAACCTTCTGGACCACTTGGACCTTGGAGCTGTCACATGCTTGGATCCTGGTTGTAAGGCCGAGGTTTCACATATATATATATATATATATATACTGTATATATATATATATAATGATAGATAGACAGACACACAGACAGACAGACAGACAGACAGACAGACAGACAGACAGACAGACAGACAGACAGACAGACAGACCGACAGACGGACAGACGGACAGACGGACAGACAGACAGACAGATAGACAGATAGACAGATAGACACATAGACAGTTGGACAGCAGATAGACAGATGGATGGAGGGATAGATAGATAGGTAGGTAGATAGATAGATACATAGATAGATAGATAGCCGTTGATGAAGAAAATTTAGTAGTGTGAGTGTGTGTGTACATACACCTATGTTTTGTGCATATATGTATATATGTATATATAGAGTTATTTATATTTTTCTTTTCATTTATAGGTAGTGTTATGTCCCCCCGGATTTCCTCGCTGTCTTGCAAAACCCCCTCAACCAGTTCACCATTTCACCATGCCATTATGGTCAGGACCCCTCACCAGTTCACCATTTGGCCATTTCACCAATTAGTTTGGCCCTAACCCATAATCCATTTCACCATTTCACCAATTATTTTGGCCCTCGAAAATGAGGAGGTCTGACCACATGGGGGGACGTGAACGGTGAAATGGTGAAATGGTTTATGGGTTACGGCCAAACTAATTAGTGAAATGGTGAACTGGTTTATGGGTGAGGGCCAAACGAATTGGTGAAATGGTGACATGGTGAACTGGTTTATGGGTAAGGGCCAAACTAATTTGTGAAATTGTGAAATGGTTTATGGGTTAGGGCCAAACCAAATGGTGTATGGGTTAGGGCCAAACTAATTGGTGAAATGGTGAATGTTGAACTGGTTTATGGTTTAGGGCCAAGCCTATTGGTGAAATGGTGAAACGGTTTATGGGTTAGGGCCAAACGAATTGGTGAAATGGTTTATGGGTTCCGACATAGGGCCAAATCAATTGGTGAAATGGTTTCGGGTGTGCAACCACCCCATATGGTTAGTCCTCCTCACCTCATAAGACCAAGGCAAGTGGTGAAATGGTGCATGAGGGACATGAAAAGTGGCTTGGGTCCCAAACCACTCGAAGGATCAAACCGGTTGGTGAAATGGTGAAAATTGTCTGTTGGTTTCATGGTTTCGCGCGCTAACCGTCATATCGTCAAACTGAGTATTTGAAGCTCCGAAGGACCTGGGTTTATAAACCAGTGCTGCGGTTTATAAACTTTGGGAGGTTCCCGTTGCAGAATAAACCATACGAGATAATTCTATTTCATCAGCAATTCATCAACACCTAAGTCCAAAATTTCGCCTGTTTAGGTGTTTCAGGAAGACCGAAGCTGCAACGAAGCTAAGCATGGACTAGGAGAATAGATGGTCCTAGGTATCCGGCATTTACTCGTTTTTTGAGTAATGATGCAGTGTTTTTGTCAGACTTTGCATATTCCCGGGACCATATGCATATTCCCGCGACTTTAGCGGAAAGGCCATGCTGCATCTGACCGTTCCAGGACACAAGGCAATCTATATACATATTGAGCGAATAGGCACTTACGTGTCATTCATCTAGGAATCATACTGTGGAAGATGACGTGGCTTCTATCCGGGTTACAATAGCTCAGTAGGCGTTCTCAACATTGGAATATCAAGCTACGCAGAAAATTGACATACGACTGACAAGACCTGATTGTAAGGGAAAACAGAGTTTTTGTTTACAACTTCGTTAGGTGTCATCACTTGGTGTACATAGACCAGTTGGTTGCAACGTTATGTCCAAACATCATTCCAAGGAAGCAGGATTTCGATGAGACAAGACTGACAAATGTATGTATGGTGAGCAAGCAAAGTTTGCAGCTTACGAACTGTTACGTGCATCGCTTGGTACGTAGAAAACTCCTAGCAGCGATTTTTCCAATATGTGGGGATGATCTCTCTTTCGGGAGGAGCGATTTCAGCTTATCCTGCACAGCGCTTGCGTCACCACCACAATCAGAATCATCCCAGGTCACGACAGTTCCATCGCCAAGAATGGCGGCAAAAACCGTCCCGGAGGCTTGAATCTGCTCCACATTCTTGAGCTGAGCCCGCGCAGAAGCGCTGTCACCACCACTACAAGGATCGACAGATCCGTCAACACGAATGGGCGGCAAAAGCACCCTCTGAGGCTTGAATCTGCTGCACACTCTTCAGCTGTCCCTGCACAGTACGACTGTCAACGCCAAGGTCAGCAAAAGCCCGGCTACCACATACCTGCCCTCGGTGTATGTGCAATGTCAGAGTACTCTCTGCGCCCGCAGCTTGAAAGTCTTTACCTTCACGTCTTGGTTTGCTTTCACGGTAGTCGCCCTGCCACTGAGCAGTCTAACTTCCACAGCTATCGACATGTAGACGACAAGCTAGTGAGAAATCAAACCAATAAGCACCAACCCTACATAAAATTCGATAATGATTATGATGATCTTCGTCCTCGACAGTGTAATTGGTAATACCAACAGTAGACAATCTTGCGGAACGTGAGTGGAAGCACAGCAAATAGCATATTGAGAGGGAAATGAAAATTCACATGCATGCGCATGTTCATCTACATACACATATGTACAACTATCCGTGCTGTGATTCTGAAACACGACATCACAAGCCCCGTCACCACGACAGAAAGCCACCATGATAAACACCCAAAGCCTTAAACTCAGAAGAACATTCAAAACCCAACATGGACAGTTTTAAGGGTTATGACGAAGTCAAGGCCGTTCCAATTGAACAGAGGTTGGGGGTATATTGTAGTATAGTCTAGTTAGTTGAGGACGATACCTGCAAAAAAATTACTTAGTATTCAGCCTCCTGCTTTATAAGAACCCTAGAACCTGAACCCCAAACCCCCAAATCCCACAGCGCCAAGGCAGCTCCCAATCTGAGCAAGGGACCATGGGGACCTCCACGATCCTCTCGATGGTCTGGACCTTACATGGTGTAATATAGAAGCCTAAACAAAAAGCAATATTATTCCTCGGGATTCCTTGTTAGATATATTATAAAGAAGCCCAAAACCCTATTCTGATTACTGAGGCCCCTATATTAAGGCTTAGGGCTTTAGGGTTCCAAAGTTTGGGGGAGTTTCGGATTTAGGGAAGCTCTGGGGAAAGTTTCGTGTTTGGGGTTTCGGGTTCTGGGGTGTTGGGCTTTAAGGCCGCGAGGCTTCATTGGGGCTTTAAGGGTTTCCGGGCCTGTAGCTTCATTCTTAATCATCGGGTTTGTAGTTTAGGGTTTGGGGTTTTCGGGTTTAGGGTTCAGGGTTTGGGGTTTCGGTTTAGGGTTATAAGAGGCTTTCAGGAAATTCAAGTCATGGACCTGGCCTGGGGCACTTCCCGCTGCTTCACCACGGGGATGTCCACGACCTTCTCTGTGGTCTCAATCACGTTGACCTTCACAAGGGTTCTGCAAGGGGGGTGACAAGGGGTTTATATACGGGTGGTTAAGCAAGATCACAAATCTTGGCCTTGCAACCCTACAGCAAACCATCCACAGAGGCTTGACCGTGTACCACGGCTACCAGACGGAAGGTTGAGGTCTTCAATACCCTGATGTAGGTTCCTTAATAATGAGAATAGGGTTTCGGGTTATATTCTACATAAATCACTTTCAGGAACCCCCAAAATAGTGTAGGTAAGTATTAAGGCCCCCTTTACTATACCCACGACCCCGAGGCCCCCCCGCAAAAAAAACCAATGTCCCCAAATCCCTGGGCCCCGAAGCCCCACACCCCCTTAAACCCCAAACTACGCTGATAAACCCAACCGCAGCCCTTGGTTTCGGGTTTGGGGTTTTAGCCCTTATAAACCAAAGAAACAGGGCCTCCACCGGGCGCTCAACAGGAACTTGCACCGGCACGTGACGGTGCTTCTGGATTGGGATGTGGACGTGCTGATCCTTGAGGGTTTGCAAGCTTACCAAGTTCAGGGCAGAAGCCTTCATGCCCTACATCACGGTTTACGATTTCGGGCTTAGGGTTCAAATTCATAGTTAGCACTGCTCAGTCTGGTTGCTGCGTTAGGGATTATTGTCTAGTTGTAGGAAGACTTCTTGTTATGGTCGTTATTTTACCGCATCTGGCCTTCTTGCAATGTTTACTACATCATGCACGCCAGAGGTTCAATGTGCCCAAAATCCCAAACCCTACACGCCAAAACTCATCTAATATAGGGGTCTTAATAATTAGAATCGGTTTTGGGGTATATTCTACTATAACTGTAGTAAGGAACTTATATTAGGCTCTGCAGGGGGGGAGTTCCATTGGTACAAGCTGTCTGCTTCCGCCATGATTGCAGTCATGTAGGGGCCTTAATAATTAGAATAGGGCTTTCGGCTTCTCTATAGTATATATAGTTATAATAAGGATCCCTACGGAAAAACATGGGTAGTTTTTTCGGCTTCTTTAACTTGTACAGTATGCAGGCGGTATCGCAGACCCAAACTCTTACACCACAGACTGCTTGCTTGCATGACACAACAGAGTTTCAGAGGGCTTAGGGTATGCTTAGGGCGCAGGCTTTAGACCCAACACCCTGGGACACATACAGGTTGTGCTCTGCTTTTCTGGCTTTCGGTTCTCTACCCGACCCCGTGAGATGCGTGCCTTTTTGTATGTGTATAATTCTTATTCTCATTGTGACTACTGCGAGGCCTCAAGCCCTCAGGTCCTCAGACATGATGAAACGCACAACACCCCGACTGATAAGAGCAACTTAGCAACAGCAGCGACCGCAGACATAACAACACGAACAGTAATCGTGGTCGCAAGCACGTACTAGCAATGCTAGCAGCCACCGACTCGCCCGCCCTAAACCCACTTCCCCTGAACCCTAAATAAAACCCTACACTTCTGGACCAAGAGTCAATGTACTCAATCTGGGGAACCTCAATCTCGCGGTTTACCTCACCACGAGAGACTCTCAAGGCGGGCAAAAGACTGGGCTCCCTTTCCAGAAGAAGGCTGTGGGTGACATCTTACACTCTAAGTAGACCTAGACAGGGACTATCAGGAATCATGAGTACTAAGTTCAAGGACCTTTTTGCTACCATCGTTAGTACTACTGTTGTTGTTGCTGTTGCTGCAGTTGTAGTTGCGGTTGTGGTTGCAGTTGTAGTCGTCGTACTAGTAGTAGTTGATGTTGTTGCTGTTGTAGTTGTAGAAGTAGCTGTAGGTGTAATTATTGTTGCAGTTGCAGTTGCAGTTGTAGTGGTGGTTGTAGTTGTAGTTGATGCTGTTGGTGCTGTTGTTGAGGCTGTTATTGTTGTCGGTGTTGTTGTTGTTGTTGTTGTGGTTGTGGTGGTGGTTGTGGTTGTGGTGGTGGTGGTGGTGGTGGTGGTGGTGGTGGTGGCGGCGGTGGTGGTGGTGGCGGCGGCGGTGGTGGTGGTGGCATCATCATTGTTATTCGTACTATGATTATTAGTAGTCTATAAACACATGCACAGCCTGGGTGGGACTCTGAACCTCAGCTAGATAAAGCGTACTTCTCAAATCCCCAAACACTTTGACTGAACTCGTAACCACAATATTTTTGCGCGCCAGGGCACGGTCTGGACCATTGGCACGTGAACATGCTTGTGGACCGGCATCTCAACCACCTTGTCGACATACCTTTGAAGCTTGGCGCTATTGTGAGATGCTGCAGTATATGTCTGGAAAGGAGGGTTCATTATGCACTGGTCTTAAGACTCTAATTAAACCCTAAACCAAACCCTAAACGAAGCTCCGCGCATCTGAGCCCCAGATCAAAACCTCCCAGGATTCTTCTGAAAACTCTAGGACCCCTTTTATAGAATTCTGTAGCTGTAAGGAACCTTCAGCCCTTATCGTTGGAAGATATGAAGCTTTGGGTTCCTCTTCGCCTTAAACCCTAAACCCTAAATCCTAAACCCTAAGCCCTAAACTCTAAACCCAAACCCTAAACCCCCAATCCTAAACCCTACACCCTAAACCCTAAACTCTAAACCCAAACCCTAAACCCCCAATCCTAAGCCCTACACCCTAAACCCTAAACTCTAAACCCAAAACCTAAACTCCCAATCCTACGCACTAAATCCTAAACCCTAAACTCTAAACCCATTCTAAACCCTAAACCGATTCTCAAGCATCCCACAGGTTTTGACTTGTGCTCGCTCCTCCGGCTCCTGAAGCTCTCACAAGACTAAGATTTGTAATGGCCCCTCTGAGTTTTAATATAGAAGTTACATTTTTTTGAGAGAAGGAGACATACATACATACATACATACATACATACATACATACATACATACATACATATATGCATATATGTAATTATTGAGATAATTATTTACTTATGTATGCATTTATTTACATTTACATTTATCTGCTGACTGTTAGTTTGTCTTTTTATATTCATATATTTATACAAATATATGTACATATATATATATATATATCCTAGAGCACTCAAGTTGGCACCGGGTTGCTGAATCTGAGGTACTTCCACCGTCTTCTCCACAGTCTGGACCATGGGGACCTGGACCTGTTTCGGGCTGTAGGGTTTGGGGTTTCGGGTTTCGGGTTGACGGCTTGGAGTTACGGGTTAAGGGTTGCAGGGGCTTCTATCGGTGCTTTTGTCGTACCTCCGTGGAAAGTCACATCACCGCAGTGGACGACCGAACGGCGAAAAAAAAAAACATCAACAGCAGTAGATGATCATGTAGACGCTCACTGTGAGACGCTCCCAGTGAGATGGCATCGCCACAGAAGCAAGAGTGTGTGATTCGATAGGATTGTTGTGACAGCTATCGGAGGCACGGGAAAATACGCCTTCGATACACATAAGGGAAACAGCAGGCAACCATGTAGGGGCTCGAACTGACATGGCACTACCACACGCAACTCCACGACGACGACCTCCCACCCTCCCTCGCTCGCCGCCGCCTGCTTCTGGATTGGC